AAGGCTCTTCCCTGTTCTAAGTAGCTCTGATGGTCTGTGGTTAAGACTTTCAGCTAACCGAAAGGTTAACAGTTCAAATTCATTAATTGCTCTATGTAAGAAAGATAATGCAGTTGCTTCCAGCCTTAAAAGAGTTTACAGCCTTGAAAACAATTCCTACCCTGTCCTACAGGATCACTAGGAATCAGAATGAGTTCTATGGCTACCTGATTCTGATTCAAGTCAGGGAGACGGATGGGGGGATGTTATTGTTATTGCGTGCAGTTGAGTTGGAGTCGACCCGTAGCTGATCCTCCAGGAGTTTTTCAGCAGCAGTTAATCACAAGGGAGGAGACTGCCCTTCCTTCTCCCATGGAGTAGCTGGTGGATCCGAACCATGCGCTTCTGAGATTGCAGAATAGCTTCTTGCCACCGGGGCTCCCTAAATGAGTCAGACTTAGTTAGATGGCTACCTGATTCTGATTCGGGTCTGGGAGTAGAATGGCAGGACATAGAGGAATGCATTTCTAACAAGTTCCCAGATGGCACAGGGTGGGTGCAGCGAGATTCAACACCACAGGTAAACTACACAATATGGCAAATACAGAATGTAATTAAAGACAATGTTGACAGTGAAACGTCAACTGATTGTTGAATTTTCAAGAGGTCCCATAATTTGCTATGTAAAATTTCTCAAAAACACAGTATTTAAACAAAATATTATACTAAACAATTACAATGACCATTAGTTAGTAAATCTTATTAATTCTTCATAGAAAATATTAGTCATTACTGTAAACTGATTAGGTTGCTTTGTTAGCCATTTTTGTGCCTTTGGCAGTATGCTAACACCTATGGATGAACCTCATTTCAGAATAATGTTTTAAATGCATAAATTATATAATGCAATAAAGGCTACTAATTCATATTAGTTATAAAGATATTGGAAATTTATTAACAAAATTAAAACAGTTCATAATTTCAAACTAGTGAAAAGTATAAAAAATATCTTGGTTTTTTTTTTTAAATATCTTGTGATACCAATAACAACTTCATGGTATAAAAGTGTGATACTGATTGGTGTCAAATGCAAAGGTATTGCTAATACTACGGTGACTTGTTGAAAAATTAAAGGAAATGCTATATTTCAGTTACAAGTTAGTGAAACGAATCCTTTGAATGAACAAAGGCAGGAGGCAGTCAGAAATCAATGAGGTGACAAGGGATCCCACAATACTAAAAGCTAATCATGAATTTTCATTCATAGATCTCTGAACTTTACCATGAACCCCTTGGGGACCTATGAGTCCCAGGAGAAGAATCCTTTCAGAATGAGAAGTATTTCATGTAAAGTATGTTTCACAAGATTACCTGGACAAAGTGACAAAACTCAGTTAAAAGTTAAACTATTTACAAAACTTTTGTCATCATACAAATAAAAGTTTTAAGTTTCACAGTAACTTAAAAAACAAATCTCTTTACTTTAGAAATAAATTAATGAAGTGAACAAATGGAAAATTTAAAATTATTATGACCTCATTATGGTGACACTATTAAAATGTTCATAGGGTCGCTATGAATCATAACTGACTTGATGGCACCTAACTCTCATTTAAAAGTACAATTGCTGAAATGGCAAAACAAGTTAAATGTCTGGTTAAGCATGTGACTTCTAACCTGTAACACAACTTGGAAAAAGTAAAAAAACAAAAACAATGGGGGGGGGCCCACATCAATGCTAGTAACTTGGTGGCTACTTTATTAATCCCAAATTTTTAGTTTATGCCTAAATTCTTGTTTCATGCATCCTTGAATACTTCTTAATAAAGGAAAATAGTATCCATTCTTTTGGTAGCTCCCCCACCAAGATTAAAAATACTTTATAAATTGGTTTTAACTAAGGTTACCTGCTGGTCTGACTATAAATAAGAGATATGCTGATTAAGAGATGGTTTGCAGTGCTAGAAATAAAATGCTTTATCATTTGTTCAATTTGCCTCATTGAATTTGTATTTAAAACAACAACAACCAAAAAAAAGAGAAGAATCTAACCAGCTGAGAATTGTTAAGTAGACCCATTATGTAACTATTAGAAAATCTTAAAAGGTAACTTGTTTAATAATCTTCATGTCTTCATATATACTCATAAGGCAATAATGAAAAAGAACAGAAAGTAGTTAGAAATAAGGAAGTTAGAGGGGATCCCAGAATTCATACAACTACATTTTGATCATATATTGCCATTCAGAGTTTTGAAAACTATATGAATGGCAGTGACTAGGGATGATAGAGAATTGATACCTTTGAGCTGGGTGCTGGAGAAGAGTACTGAATGGACTGCCAGGAGAACAAACAAGTTAATCCTGGATCCAGAGGGTGAAATCAGGCTGCTCCTTGGAGGCAAGGACTCCAAGGCTTCGTCTGACATACTCTGGGCATATTGCAAGGAGGGACTAGTCCTTGGAGAGGGACACCCTGCTTGGGAGGGTGGAGGGACAGCACAAGAGAGGAAGACTGGGGAAATCGGGTATGTCAGAGATAATAAGGTTGGCACACGTTAGAGCAGGTTTCAGAGCTATTGTACACAGGGTCGCTATGAGTCAAGCAACTCAATGGCACGTAACAACAACATATGAATGCCAAAGAGCAGCTGGTGGATTTGAACTGCTTCCCTTTGGGTTGGAAGCACAACCTTTTACCACTAACTCATTGGGAGGCCCAGCGATTGAGTCGGTTCTGACTCACTGGCAATGAGACAGCTCTCAAATTCAGAAGGAAGAGTAAGAGAAAATACATTAAATTCAATAGCTCTAGTACATTAGGAAAAAAGATGCAGGATCTAGTAAGATAACTGATCAATCACATTGTATTATTTTAAAATTTAAAGTCTAACAAGGCCATGGAAATAAAGAATAGTTTTGTATTTCAGAATAGTTCTGAAACAATTCACTTAATTCTTAATTCATTTTACTGGCAATATTTTCCTATTTTCAAAAAACTATTCTAGTGTCATCTTTATCTCTGTTTGTTAGAGTTAATAAACTAGTTAAATTTTAGTACTGGCTTTTTTTCTCAATACACCATTCTTGTTGCCTTCCTCTTTTCAGGAAATGTAAATAAAATAACCCTCTGGAGTTGTTTGGGTTATTATTAAGTCCTTACAAAAAAAGATAGTTCCACGTCCTTATACATGCAGTTTCTACTAAGAAAAAGAATGTTTTATGTAATTAAGTTTTGGGAAGACAGAAATGAATGTGAAAACCATTTGTTATTTCAATGTTATTTACAATGAAAATAATGGCTTTGTAGTTCTGGCAAGTTTGTATTAAGAAATCACAAGTATATATTAATTCTTATATTTAAGCCATTCATTTGTGTTGATTTACCTAATGATTTTTTTAAAAATCAAACACATAAAAAAGTTAACTCCCTTCATGGTAATCCCAAGCACGTCAGAGAATTGTGCTTCATAGTTTTCAAGGGCTAATTTTTCACAAATAGATGGTCAGACTTTTCTTCGAACATGCCAAGCTCCAACCTTTTGGTTGACAGCCCAGCACCTTAACCTTTTACAGTACCCAAGCACTACCAATTAATGGTATCATTTTTATTCTAAAAGAGAACAGTAATCGTTTGAAAAGAAAGAAATAGCTACCTATCTCCTATGATTTAGGTTCGGGGAACTTTTGGATGAAATGCATAAAAACAAACAAACAGCCAAAGAGACCTTCCCTGACCACCAACACCTTAACACACCATACCTGACCCATCCTAGAAAGAAACCGTGCACTTGACATGGCTCATCAGTCTAACTCCAGCACCAAAACTGTGTGTATGGTATACAGCTAACCCTCAACAAATATCTGCTTAAAAAACTAAGACTGCCTCTCACTTTCAAGTGTCTGCCAATCAAATTCTGGGGGAAGGAACATCTACACGCTGAGGTTTAAAGTCTTAAGAATTCATTCACTACCTTGTGCATCATCTACAAAACGCTTCTGCACAACCTCATTAAGTCTGTCTGCAAATAAACTGCTAGAAAGTAACTTAATAAACGACAAGGATCAACTTAGAAAAGGGAGCTTTAAAAAAAATTATTCAAGGATTATAAACTATTAAGTTAAAATGAATTTGTCTAGAAGTTAATGATTATATCAAGATCTAATTGCGTAGTCTGACAGTCAAAGGTTTAGAGAAGAGAAAAATGGTTTCTTTTCGGAATCTTTTGGCCAGTGCCAACTCTTTTCACAGCTCCAGATAAACAGGAAAAGTAAACAAGCGCCACCCTTTAGAAACTGATCTTGAACTGTCAAGTTGGGAAAACCAGGAAACTACTGCTGTCACATCTTAGGATTTCAAAACCAATTCCTCCGGGATCTCGCCAGTCTCCCAAGCCATTTTCCTGGCAGGCCGAGGCTTTCCCAGGGTCAGGAGATCAGGTCCTGGGAAGTACTGTGCTGTTTATGTCCCGGTGTCGGCACAATGACAGTGACACCGCGATCCTCGCATGCTCTGCTGCCGGGACGATCGGCTCGGCGTCCCATAGTCCCGGGGCGGGGGGAACGGGGGGAACCCCAAATTAACAGTCGTTCTCCCGTGCTCCTTCCGGAGCCTCGGTGGGGAAGTTGGCCAGATTCCGAACCGGGAGCCACAGGCGGAGCGGGCGGCCATCCCGGAGGGGCTCAGAGAAGAATCTAAAGACACTTTTTAATGAAAAAAAACCACTTTGTGACACTTTTAAGGATTCCAGGTACCGGCCACACTTAAGCCCCAAAGCCTGGAGGCCTTAGGTTGCGCGGACGCGGGGGGAGTAGTTTAGCACAAGAGGTTTGCTTCAAATTGGGGGAAACAGCTGCTCCAGGGGTCGGTTAAGTCCTAGAGCGAAAGTGGCTGCTGCAACGCATAAAGCAGCTCATCCTTTCACACCTGGGGGTAGGGTAGGCCTCGTACCCCCCGCCCGGGGTCTCCAACCATTAGAGGATCAGTTCCCCGAGCGCTCACGCCAGGAACTACTTCGTTACCTCTCGGCGCGGAGGCGAGCGAGGAAGTGATGAGCCGCGCAGCTGCCGCGCCGCATGTACAAGCCCCGCAGCTAGACATCTCCGTGGGGCCTAGACTGGGGTTTCGCCCCCCTGCTGCTTCACGAGTGTCAGCGGCGCGACGCCTACTCGCAGGTCGTGCTGACTTGGTTCCGAGCCCTCTAAGTAGCCCTAGTAGAGTTGACCCGCCCGGCGGCCAGGCGGTAATGCGCTCTCCGTGCCTCCCCGACGTCCACTAACCAGAGTAGACACCTAATCCCCTCCCTCCCACTACTCCCCCCCCACCCCCCGCCCACCGGGCCCCGGGAGCGTGCGCGCGCCTGCGTTCTAGGCCCGGAAAGGGGCGGCGGGCGTGGTGCGCGTGCGTGCTGGAGACACGACGTGCGGCACCGGGAAGGGGGCGGTGACCTGGGCGCCAATGAGTTCGCGACGGCGGGCGGTGGGTCCCGTCTGGTGGGACTACAATTCCCGACATGCAATTCTTCCGGAAGTTCTTCTACCCTCGGCTTTGAAAGGCTTGCAAGAGAGAAACAGAAGGATAGGTGCAGGGAGTTGTAGTCCCTATTTGTCATAGTTGACTCTTGTGGTCATTTTTGTTGGCTGGTGACAGGAAAGGTCATATACATAGTGAGACAGTCCTTAGAGGAACTCTGCTGCTACTAGGTCCTTCCCCTGCGGAATTCCACACCCTGTGTTTATTATCTTATTCTTAGAAAAAACAAAATGGATGTCAGAAAAGACTCAAACTTGTTCTTTAATTATAGAGAAGCTAAAGCAAAAGGCACAAATGAGGACATAAGAAAGCTATTTCAAAAGACAGCCAGCTCTAGAAGACAAATCAAAGTGGACAACAAAAAAAGGGACACGTTTGTCTTGGAAAAAGTATATCCGGAGTACTCCTTAGAAGCAAAGATGGTGAGACATCATCTCATATACTTTGGGCGTGTTATCAGGAGGGGCCAGTTCCTGAAAAGGGGCATCTTGCTTGGAAAACAAGTTGAAGGTCAACAAAAGAAAGAGACTTTCCACTTTGAAAGACCCAGCTGGTATTTGAAATATCAGTGGCATAACTTCCAGCAACACATGAGCAACTAAAGCCTGTCTTACACTTTAGGAGGCTCAAAGTCCAAATTCAGGGTACAACCTTGAGGGGAAGGCCCATTGTCTGTTGGTGATAGGGAAAAAGTTCTTGGCTTACCTCAAAGGGGAAGGCCACGCACGTGCAGGAATTCTTGGTTCAGACCCAATTCTGGGATAAATGTCCTCCGCTTTCATCCTATTAAGGATTAAGGGATGTTACATTCCACCTTTAATGCTTTTACAATTATTTGGTTTGTCAGATCGTGGGGAATCATTACATAGACTCACCATTATTTCATTGTGTATTTGGGGGACATAAATAATCCATGACAACTGAGAAAATGGATTGAGTGACTACAGCAGTGGGTTCAAGCAGAGTAGAGATTGTGATGATGGTGCAGAATCAGGATTTCATTCTCTTGGTTGGACATAGGGTCAGAGTTGGAGCAGACTATGAGTCCGAGCAGACTCTATGGTGGCTAACAACAACTTTTGATCTTTAGTTTCCTCACCTGTAAAGTGGAAATACCGTTTGTGAAAATAAAAATGCAACCATAATTGGGTGGATGGTTGTGGGGAGCTCTGGTGCGCTGATCCATTGAGCATTGTGCTGCTTACCTGAAGACCACTCACGTCTCCAGCAGTTCTGATCCACCTGCTGCTCTGCTGGAGAAAGATGAGCCATCTCTTTCCGTTATGATTTGATGTCTGGGAAACCTGATGGAGGGTCTTTATGGGTTGAAACTGACACCATAGCAAGGAGTTTTGGGTGGTGACAACTCCTCATCATGGCTCTTACAGGCCTAATTGTAACACTGCCAACTGTTGCTAGTCCCTAAGTGTCTTACATTCCTTTGTCAATTGCTTTAAATCTCACCACACCCTGCTAAGTGGTACCTTCATAAACCCTCTGCAGCTACCCTTTGAGTCATATCTGCATGGCTGCTTCCTTTCTTTGAGGTCGAAGTGGACTGACCAGCTATACAAGGTGGAGAATGATGACAAAACAGACCCATCTCCCATCTCTGTTGGAGGCCGACTGGGGACTGGGTGTTTACTCTCTTAAGATTCTATTCACTTCAGAATGCCAGAGAAGTTGCCAGGTTAGGCTGATTATCTTTGATTTTGAAAAAGTAACGGGGAGAAAGGGAGATTAACTGGGGTCAAGGCCAGGCCATCTAAGTCAGTTAGTTTTCATCAATCTTGGTAAAGAAATTTTTAAAAATTACCTTTAGTTCCCTTGGTCTGGCTGTGGGAAGTGACTACCCTTGGCCCAGACCTCCCTTTTCCCTCTTCTTTTCAATTTAAAGTTGTAGAGACCAAAAAGGAGACCAACTCTTCTATCACCAAGACCTAGCCCTTCCTCAGAAGTTTCTCACTGGATTTTAAGAGAAGAAAAACAGGAATTGTCTCAGTCCAGTGATTTTTTTTTTTAAACTATGTTCCTAGAATCTCTCAGAAACTATAGTTCTTCAGTGGGAGTTAGAGACCCAGGAGAGTGGAGCTCCCCTCCCTGACTCCACTCCTTCCCATAGTTGACCAGAACACCTCTGCTTTCATCAGTTTCATTTATAAGGTTTTTGTCAGAAGACAGGGTTCTTACTTGTTAGAACAATATTTGAAGGCATTGGTTCTAGAACAAACTTACCCTTTTAGAAATGAGCAAGAGAGCCACAGGGTTCCCAACATCCAATTAAAATTCTTTTAAACCTACCACCACCTTTGAGATGAACATTCATTAAAATAAAAAAATACTGTTAAAATCTAAGGAATAAAAGTTAAGACTTATCTGGGATCACTATTGTGAAGCCATCTCTTTCTTTCCCTGTCCTAGCGTCTTATAGATGTAACATAATTCAGTCAAGAAGTTTATTGAGTGTTAATTATGTGCCAGGCATGAGGAAATAGCATAACCAAAAAAAATAAAGTTTCTCTCATGGAGCCACTACTGTTGTAGCAGAGATAGCTAAGATTGTAAGTAAAATAGATACATACCAGTGGTGTGATGAGGTAGGTGACCATTCCAAGAATGGCTGAGGATTTAATTTTATTTATGGGCTGGTGTTACTTGTATTTAGCCTTGTAGGCCCAACTAGACTATGCGGTCTTTGAAGACAGGCACTTCGGGTTATACTTAGGATAAATCCATCATAGAAATTCAATTCAGTAAATAATTTTGCTTGGCAGAAACCTGAATTATGCTGTCTTCATAATCATGAATATTAGTAGAGCAAATTACAACTGACAAAGAGGTAACTATTAATAAATACTAGTTCTATAAACTTACATAATGGTTTATTCCAGAAGGACTTCCCATATTAGCAGAGTATAGACTTTGCCCTAGAGAGTAGGAAACAAGGACCTGCACACAGCTGATTTAGCATTTTTTCAACAGGGTGAAAAAGAGTCATGTGTACTGGGAATCAAGCCAGTGATGGTTTCATCACATAAGTAAGAAAAATTTGATAGTTTCAGTGCATGGCCCCAGAGCCATGCTCGGTGGGGCTGAATATGCATGCATTCTTGGGTTCTGTTCTGGGTACCACCATTCAAAAAGGGTAGAGTCAAATAGCAACAAGTTGAGAGAAGATTAGAGTAGAAAGGGGTAGGTGCCTATATGGTACATCTGACTAGCCTTTAAAAAATAAGTAACAGATTTACTTTATGGGAAGTCATATAATAATTTAAGAATTAAATATCACCTAGTTAAATATTTACAGTGTGTTTATATTTAAGATAAAATAACATGGAATCAAGATGATGCTGAGAAAAAAATAGAATGCAAATACTATAAAAAATACCTGTTAAATGATAATTCACTCATTCAACAAACATGGATAGGAACAGTTAGCTTTGTCCTAGACTCTGTGAGACATAAATGTTGCCTTCAAACTGAGGACCTTGTACCTATGGAGGATACACCAAGACTCTCAAAGTGATGTTTGAGCACAGATTAAATGAAATAGCATCTGTCTTGGGAAGCACTCGGATATCACGGATCTTTCTTTAAGAACCACTTGGCTGACAAAAGAGCACGTTTTGTTTTACACATATACACTCTGTGACCTGAAATACACAGGGTAGTAAAGTGTCCACATCCCAGAGAATAATAATGGAGCAGAACTTGGAGTTTAGGCAAAGAGAGGTGAGGCTTCAGAGGCACAGTAGAACCATTCTCTCTCATTTATCTCTTCATGGATAATTGATGTTAAGTTCCTCTTAGGCCATCCTCTCAAGTCCTAAACTCAGAAGCAGAGAGCCATTTGAAATTTTGTCTGTGATAAAGTATAACCTTGATCAGGAAAGTGTTAACAAATATGTATGTTATTGTAAGCTTATGTCAACCCTATGTATAATACGATTGCCCAACCTTGCCTCATCTCCTTCAGGCTATTGGTAACTTTGAGCAACAGGGAGCCTCTGGGAAGTGTGAAGAGACATGACCTTGGAAGATTTTTGAATTCCAGGCCTGTCAGCTCAAAAGGTGAGGGACCAGGAAGATCTACAAGGCTTAAAATAGTGTTCTTAAATGACTGTGCATTGAAGAATTATTATTTGTAGGGTCATTGTTGTTGTTGTTAGTTACCATCAAGCAGAGTATGACCTGTAACGACCCTATGAACAATAGATCTGAACCCTGCCCTATCCTATGTCATCCTCACTGTCTCTGATATATAAGAGCCCATTGCTGCATTCAGTCCAACTGTTGAGGGTCTTCTTGTCTTTCTTCAACTTTCCACCTTTCAAATACAATATCCCTTTCTAAGGAAAAGCCTCTTGTAGCAACAAGCCCAAAGTATGTGAGATGAAGATTCACCATCCTTGCCATGAAGAAGCACTCTGTTGCATCTACTCCAAGACGTATCTGTTTTTTTCTTTTAACAGTCCATGGGATATTCTGTACTCTTCCCCAACACTACAACTCAAAGGCATCAGTTCTTCTTCTGTCATCCTTATTCATTGTCCATCTCTCAGATGCATAGCAAATGATTGAAAAAAGACCATGGCCTGAACCAACTTAGTCCTAAAACTGACATCATTGCTCCTCAATAATTGGAGAGGTCCCTGACAGCTGACTTTCCCAGTGCAATGTGTCTCCTGATCTTCTGATTGCTA